GACAGGGACACTGGGGGCCAGTGGGTCCGTGTCATTTGGGGGGGTACCAGCGCCGTCGTGTCCATGTGTGTCCTGTCCCGTCCCGTCCGTCCCCCCCCGACCATGAAAAGGGCGGCAGCAGCCGGGGGGGCTCGGCCGAGGCGGGGGCTCCCCCGTCCCACCGGGCATTTGCCGGAGGCTGCAGAAAGTTAATTCTCAGCACCCCCCCCCAACCTCACCTTGCCTGAAATAGCCCGAATTTGGTGACCTTCCAGGCGCCGCGGCGGCCGTCCCGTCCCGGGGGGATTCGCTCCGGCGGCCGTTAACGAAGTCGCTAACGGGGTGTTCGCCGGCCGGCCGGCGGGCGCGGTGTCGGAGCCGAGTTTTCTTTGTCTCCGCCAAGAATTGTGGGTTTTATTCTTTTGGGGGGGTTTTTTTCCTCCCCACCCCACCCCCTTTCTCCAATCCGGCAGCTCCTGCGCTTTGTGCTCGGTGAATCTTGGGAATTCGTCGGCGCCGGTGCCGGCACAGTGCTGCCAGAGCCTCCCCGTCCTCCACGCCCGGCCGGTTTTCACGTGATTACCGGCGGAGACGTCGGCTTTACAACCGCACCGTCGTGGGGGGAATAATGACCAGACCCCCTTCCCTCCCTGCTACTGACCCGCTCCAGTGAAATTAATTGATCAGTGCAAGTAATTAATGTGTGGCGCAGCGGCCCCGTCCTGCGCCGGATTTGGAGGAGACCTCACCTGCGGTGTGGGATGGGGCAGGGGGAAACTGAGGCACGTGGGGCTGGCTCACCCCCGAGCCTGTGGCAAATCCTGCCTCCGCCTCGGTGCCAGCCCGGCGCTTTCTCTGCCCGGGTTTCCTCGCCGGCTGCCGAAGCTTCGGCATGGCTCCTCAACCGGGAGGAGAGTGGGACGCCGGCGGCGAGGGGCTGGGCAGCCGGACCCGCTCCCCTCGGTGAGAGCGAAGCTTCGCCTGGAGCCTCCATCGCCTGAAGGTTATTAGCGGGTTTTTTTGGCGGGTGCCAAGAGCCATCCTCATGCCGGCATGGCCCCGCAAGGTGCCAGCCCTCGGCTCCGCGGCTTCTCCATCCCTCGCCGCATCCTCGTGCCGCATCCGGCTCGTTGCACCGCACCGGCCAGCGTCCAGCCCCCCCATGGCCCCGGCGTCATCCCCCTTTTCCAGTTATTTGCCAGAAAAGCCTTTGTGTGGCCGGGGCCGGGGGTCTCTCGCTGCCCTTTCAGTGCTGGGGCGGCCGCCGGCACATCTGCCGGCCCTTTTTTATCGGCCACAAAGAGCCCGGAGGCCCGGGCTGACAGCCTGATTAACGCGGCTGGCGGGAATTTGCATTTAATGGCTTTGCCGAGCGGCGCCGTGGGCAGTGCCGGGCTCGGTGCAGGTGCTGCTGCGGCCCTGCCGGGGTCTCCTTTGGGGCTGGAAGCAGTGGGTCGAGCTGGAAGCCCCCCCAGCTCGTTTTCCTCTCGTCACTCCCAATTAATCGGGCAACTTAATGCACCGCGTGGCCGATCCGGAGCGACGACGTGCCGGGAGCCTGGCTGGCAGCAGGCAGGGCTGCCCGGCGCTGCCAGGGCGAGAGGGACCAGCAGCGGCGGCAGCGAGATGCTGGGGGAAAAACAGGTTTTGCCGCAGCGGCTCGTTTGGTTTTTCCGGCGGGGTGCCGCGTGAGAAAGGCAGCGCTGGCTGGAGGTGCTAATTACCCACTCGCCGCTCCCCGGCTTCAAAGCGGCTAACGAGGGAATGCCGCGACGCCCGCGGTGGGAGGCCGGTGCGGACGCCAGCAGCGCCTGCGATGGGGAGGCCGGGGTGGCCAGTGCCGCTCCCGGCTTGGCTGCGGGCAGCTCAGTCTGTCTCCCCTCGTTCTTCCTCACAGCATCGCCTGGCTTCACTGGAGCTGGGGGGGTCTCCGCAGAGCCATGGGGGGGGTCCCCGTCCTGGCAGCGATGGGCAGCGGCACCGATCCATATTTCTGGCCGCTCAAAAGCCCCATAAACCCCATTGGCCATGCACAAGGGGTTTGTCTCCCCCCGCTGCAACGCCACAGAGGTTAATTAGGCTAATTATGTTTTCTCCCGCTCCCTTGGCATCCGTCTAACACGAGGGAGGGCAGGAAGGGGCGGCCGGGCTGCAGGAGATGCGGGGGATGCAGGTTTGGACTGAGCCCCACCAGCGTGGCACGATCTGGTGGGGTTGGCGGGGGGCTTTGCCCAGCTCTAACCCATCTGCCCCCCCATGTTCTCTCTTCCCCCCCCCCAGATGAAGATGTCTGCGTGTTCAAGTGCTCCGTGTCCCGCGAGACCGAATGCAGCCGCGTGGGCAAACAGTCCTTCATCATCACGCTGGGCTGCAACAGCGTCCTCATCCAGTTCGCCACCCCCAACGGTGCGTCCCCCACCCTGGGGAGGGTGCGGTTTGGCTTCTTCGGGACCCTTGCATGTCCTTGTCCCGTCCTTACCCCCCACCCTGGGCTAAAGTCCCCCCGTCCCCCCCGCCTTCCGTCTTTTCCAGATTTCTGTTCCTTTTATAACATCCTGAAAAACTGCCGGGGCCACAACACGGAGCGCTCGGTCTTCAGCGAGCGGACGGAGGAATCCTCGGCCGTGCAGTACTTCCAGGTGAGGGGCTGCTCCGGCCAGGCACGACCGCCGGCAAGGGTTTGGCCATGGTGTCCCCGGTGACATCCGCATCTGTCTGTCTGTTTCCTCCCCCCGCCAGTTCTACGGGTACCTGTCCCAGCAGCAGAACATGATGCAGGACTACGTCCGGACGGGCACCTACCAGCGAGCCATCCTGCAGAACCACAGCGACTTCAAAGACAAGGTCAGCCGGGCAACCTCCCCCCCTTTAACTGCCCTGGCCTGTACAATAGTTTTGGTGAAATCTGCCTCCTTTCGGTGTCTGTCTCCAGCTCTGGGAGGGTGGTCACATGCCGGAGTTGGAAGAGGTGCCTTGATTAGGACTTTCCTCCCTTTTTTTTGCCCACTTTTAATGTGTTCCGGTGCTTTCCCGTCTCCTTCCTAGTGGTTTTATTTGTAGTATTCCTCCAAAAACACGGCTGGTTGTGAGTGCGTGGCCGGCGGGAGGAGGGACAGTGGCCAAGAGCCACGTGCCGCCAGCACCGGGGCGCAGCCGGCTTCCTGCACCGGCACCGCTGATCCCCCTAATCGGGGCCGGGGGGGGTTATATATAGGATCAAAGAGGATTTGGGTGCTCGGGTGCCGTTCGCTGGCTCGGCCACGGCGCTCTTAATCCCGTTCTTCCCTGTGGCACTGGGAAGCGGCCGGGGCCGAGCCCTCGGAGCTGCCGTGGGTCCGGGCGCGATTCGGCGCAGCGCCGAGGTGGGATAAACGCTGCAGTTGGGTCCCGCTGCCGAGCAGAGCTGGCTCTCTGCGCGTGGGTCATTACCGGAGCTTCCAGGGGGTGGGTAACGACCTGCTGGAGTTAGTTCCTTCTCTGAAGCCTGTTTGTAATCGGAGCTGCGGTGAGGGGCTGTTTTCCCCCCAAGAGGAGCCGTGCCGGTGCCGCCGCCTTGGTTTTCCTTCTTGGGAATCCAAATCTTGGGGTCCCTGGGTCTCCCCGTCCTTCTGTGCCCCAGACTGGAGGCAGAAGACCCCGATCCTGGCTCTGGGGCGATGATGCCGGGAGCTGGACGGGATGAGTTCCGGCCTCCAGAGCAGGTGCCAATGGTTCACCGTATCCTCACTGTCTCCCTCCCAGATCGTCCTGGACGTCGGCTGTGGCTCCGGCATCCTCTCCTTCTTCGCGGCACAGGCCGGGGCAAGGAAGATTTATGCGGTGGAAGCCAGCACCATGGCCCAGCACGCGGAGGTGAGCAGCCCTGATGCCCACCGCTGGGCAGCTTGTGGCTTTGCTGAGCTTGGTGGTCTCGCGCCAAACCCGTCTGGGATCACGCCCCCTTTGAGCCATGCCCCTACCCCAGTACAACCCAGTAGCGCCAGGACGACGGCACTGGGAACGCCGGGGCCAGCACAGTTCGGGGCTCTGCCTCCCACCGCATCCCCAGTATCGTGCCCCCGTGCTGTGGGGCTCCTCCTCTCCCCCCTGAACGTCCCCCTCTTTTTCCTGGGGTAGGTACTGGTGAAGAGCAACAACCTGACGGACCGGATCGTGGTGATTCCGGGGAAGGTGGAGGAGGTCTCGCTGCCCGAGCAGGTGGACATCATCATCTCCGAGCCCATGGGCTACATGCTCTTCAACGAGCGGATGCTGGAGAGTTACCTCCACGCCAAGAAGTACCTGAAACCCAGCGGTGAGTGCCGGGGCGGCACACCGGTGGGGATGGGGGGGATTCCCAGCAACCCAAGGGGCCTCTTTCCCGGTCTGCTGGATCCCACGAGCCCAGGGAGGGGGAGCAGGCACTTTCCTGGCCTCCCCTCCTCAACCGAATTCTCTGCTCCCCCGTCCAGGGAACATGTTCCCGACGATCGGCGACGTCCACTTGGCCCCGTTCACGGACGAGCAGCTTTACATGGAGCAGTTCACCAAGGCCAATTTCTGGTGAGTCCGGTGCCGGGGGGAGGATGATCCTGACCCCTTCCCCTGCCCTGGGATGGGGGGGGGGATCAGGGCCGGAGCCACACCCCCTCACGTGTTTGTATGTCCCCCCTCCTGTAGGTACCAGCCATCCTTCCATGGCGTTGACCTCTCTGCGCTCCGAGGGGCGGCCGTGGATGAGTATTTCAGGCAGCCCGTGGTGGTGAGTGGCCCTGAAGTCCCCATGGGGGGGGATGGGGAACCACTGGGGGGGGGGCTCGAGGCGAGCTGGGGGGTCCTGGCTGCTGACCCCCACCTTCCCCACCCCCCCCAGGACACCTTCGATATCAGGATCTTAATGGCCAAATCAGTCAAATACACCGTGAACTTCTTAGAAGCCAAGGAAGGCGATTTGCACAGGTGGGTGGCGGCCGGAAGGGTCCCGACTGAGGCCCCCCCACCCCAAGCCTTTGGGCACCCAAGGGTGCTGGGGGGCCTTGACCCCCCCCTTGCAACGGCTCAGCTTTGCCTTACAGGATAGAAATCCCCTTCAAGTTCCACATGCTGCATTCGGGGCTGGTCCACGGCTTGGCCTTCTGGTTCGACGTAGCCTTCATCGGCTCCATGTACGCGGCAGGGGGAGCCTTGGGGGGGGGGTCAGGGCTGTGCCTCGCCCCCCCACCCCCCACCCCAACACATCGTCTTTCTTCCCCCCCCTCCCCAGAATGACGGTGTGGCTCTCGACAGCCCCCACCGAGCCGCTGACCCACTGGTACCAGGTCCGGTGCCTGTTCCAGTCACCGCTCTTTGCCAAAGCCGGCGACACGCTCTCAGGGACTTGCCTCCTCATCGCCAACAAGAGGTGAGAGCCGGGGGGGGGCACGGGGCCTTACCAGAGCCGCCGTCCCAGCTTTGGCTACACCGTCCGCGATCTGGTTATGTCACATCCCTCGGCGCCTCACGCCGGCACCCAGAATAGCTGGGG